TTAGCCCCATGCCTAGTGTTTCCTATGTAGTCCAGGCTGGCCTTATTTTCTTGTCAATCCTAATTCAGGCTGGGATTACTGGCATATGCCACCATACATGGCTTAAATTTAGAATGTCAGTTTACTTGTTGGGTAAGCAAGCACACTTTAGCGTGTTTGTCTTTGGTGTGCTGTTAGATACCTTAATTCCTTTAGCCTGTCTCTGGCTCTTATCTCTCAGAGGGAGGTTAGTGTTCCTTCTGGTTCTTTATACCTTTTCAACTCTTAGGGAGGCCCCTAAGAATAGCGACCCGAAATGTAGCTTATTCAGTAGCCAGATTGGTACCTATAGGGAAATGCAGGTAGTGTTTCAGGCATCCTTGCTGTATATTAAGGGTACAGAATCTGAGAGTCAGCTCTACCTCAGGAAGTATCCTCTACTTGAAGGTGCCATTCAGTTGAAGTGGCCTTGAATAAGAAAGCTTCTATAAATCAAGGGAGACGGACAAGAGCTCCTTCCTGCAAGGCTGTCTTGCCTTGCTTATTTGATTCTTCCACTTTTACTTTCTCTCCCTTATTCTTTCATGTCAGAACAGTGTTCACAGAAAGGAACTTTTTAATTTTTTTGAAACTGGTAGGTTATCTGACACCAATTTGCTAAGAACTTTAGAACTTAAATACAGTAAGATTTAAGTACCAGTTCAACCAGTGTTTGGTGAATGAATGAATACAAAGCATTGGCCTGAGCTGGGATAGTGGCCTGTACTTATAATCCCAGCTTGAGGGAAAATGAAAGTCAGCCTGAGTGATTGAGCAAACCCTGCCTCGATAATCAGATAAAAACAAGATGTCACTTGAAGCAGCTTGGGAACTTCCTCCAGTCTTTTGGGGACCTCAGATCAGGAAGATCAGATTTTTTGCTTCCTTGTAGAAAAGAATTTCAAGCCAGGCAGTGGTGGCGCACGTCTTTAGTCCCAGCACTTGGGAGGCAGAGGCAGGCGGATTTCTGAGTTCGAGGCCAGCCTGGTCTACAGAGTGAGTTCCAGGACAGCCAGGGCTATACAGAGAAACCCTGTCTTGAAAAGCAAAAAACAAAACAAAACAAAACAAAAAAAGAATTTCAAGACAAGCCTATATGTAATAGATTTGGAATTGAGTAAAATACTTTCTTTTCCTTCCTTCCCTTTCCTTCCTTCCTTCCTCCCTTCC